GTCAAAGGGGTCCACAAGCGTTTCGCTCGCGGTTCCGGTTTCGGCGCTCCGCCTTTGATCGCCATCGAGGTTTTTCTCGCTCCTCAATCTCATTTCGCTCACTGAAAGATCAGGTTGACCTTTAGTCGATTCGTTTTCGGCAAACACGTCGGAGGCGCTGCTAAACGAGGACTGGCTACGCCTAGTTTTAAATTTTCGCGTGCTGCCCTTACTCAGCCTGGGGATCTTAGTAGTCGATCCTAACGAGTCCCGGCGCTGCATGCTTTGTTACAAAAACAATTTTCGTATGATTTAATGGCGACGCACACGTGCCGCAAACAAATTCAAGTTAAATTACTTAACGCTGCCTCCTCGATCTCGTAAGAATTAAGAGTGTCTCTTAGATTTCTCAATGACAATATTAGTGACTCCGTTAGAGTTACACACACACAGGGCCTGCTCAGTATTGATATAATGCTAGCTCGACCTTGTCGTATATTATAACAGTATCACAAAATTTTCACAAGATCCAATCAACACACCAAACACAATAGATAACCAGATAAGAATATCCTACAGGTGACAGCGACCTTTTGTCAGTATCAATTTATTGCTACACAATTTGTCAAGTCACTGCTTTGTTAAAATTAAACAATCTTTGATAAAAAGCAGTGATGATTCAGAAACAGATCAATAAAACTTAGTCTTAAAGAAAAAGACTTCCCCCAATCGGAACGATCCGAAAGAACAAAGCCCAGGACACAGTCTTCTCAAGTGGGTGTGTATTTGCCTAATACACCCACCGAGGTCTTCTTTTAGGTGCCCTGCGATTGCCCGAGCTGTCCTATTAAGTAGCTCAAGGCAACCTCTGATCGAAAATTTCTAAAGTCTATGAAAAAGCTCCCCCACACCCGGAACGCTCCACGTGCACGAGAGCAGGGAACAACTTTTCTTCTCAAGTGAGTGTGTATTTGCCTAATACACTCACCGAGGTCTTCTTTTATTTGTTCCCGGATTGCCCGAACTTTCTTATTAATTAGCTCAAGGCAACCGCACAACCAAAATCACAATCAAAAAAAAATTTTGTTCGGGTACTTCTGATACACCCGATCTAGAATCCAAAGTTGATCACGAATTTCCGGGTCAAAATGGGCTCTTATGATCCTAATAAGCGCCTAATATCCTAATATGATTTTAATTAAATGGATATTTTCCTTTTCCCAAATTGCCACAGAAGGTTTCCTCAAGCTCCTAACAAGGAGGGTTGCTAAGATGTTTAAGTCCATCCGGAGGGTTGTTAAGACACTTAGCCTACCTCGGAGGGTTACTTCGGAGGGTACCTTAATCCCCCAAGTTACCTCGGAGGGTCCCCTTAAATTTACTAAGGAGGGTCAATAAGATGCTTAATATGCTCCGGAGGGTTACTTCGGAGGGTACCTCCAAAATTTTCAAATTTCTGAAACTCACTCAGAAGGGCCTTCAATTAGCTTCAGGAAGCGTCAAAACAAGCTAAATTCTAATTCTCTACGGGGGGCTGTTTTAACTTCTTTGGGTGATCTCGTGGAAATTTTCCACTAAGGAGGGTTGCTAAGGGGTTTAGCTGACTCCGGAGGGTTACTTCGGAGGGTTCCTCAAAAATCACGAAAAAGATTATGTTACCGCGATAAAGTCTCTAAAAGCGGTCCACCTGAGTTAAAACTAGGTTGGCTGACACGGTCAACCTTCCCAGTTGGATAAAAAGGTGTTTTGATAAAATTTTCTGCCGCTCCGAGGGTTACCTGTAATTTGGACCCTCCGAACCAACAAATTCTAAAAAATTTTTCTTTTTCCGAGATTATCAACCCAAAAACGGTTGCGGTCCGGAAAAGTGGTTCAAAATGTCGACTTATGGTACCAAAATTATCCCGATCGGTTGGCTAGTCTTTGAGAAATTGCCAAAAACGTGTTTGTCCAAACGGCCTTTTTTTACCACCTATATAGGTTCTGAGAAACTTTTTCCGCAATTCCTATCGAAAGTGCCTAAAAATAATTGAAACGAGCGTAGTAGCCCTCTACGGCACTGGAATAGTGCAAAAAACTGGATCAAAATTGGTTTGGAGACAAAAATTTGGCCAATAACTATCAAATTTGGACCCTCCGGTTCGTTCCTTTTCCAATCCTTAAGTCGTTAGCTCTATCCAAGGAGCCAATCGGAGGGTTACTCAAAAATTTCTCTAGTAACCGAGCACGTTATGCTAGCACGCTACTAACGCAAAAAATTTTATTGCTCTAACTCTAAAAACTCAAAAATCGATCCCCAAAATAGATTGACAAAATTCAGAAAATTATCGAAATTTTGACCGAAAAATTTTGGTTTTTTCCAACTTCTACTGAGTCTTTTCTCACGCGGTTTCTTTAGTTAGGGGGATCGAACTACGTAGCTACTCCCTATATAAAAGCTTTTTGTTGTTCAGAAAAGCTCGGATCTCCAAAAATTTGGGGGTCTACAGTTTGATCGAAAATCGATGATTTTCGACAAAATTGGGTGTTTTTTGGGTTTAATTGAGGAGATAAGTAATATGTAATAAGGATAATAACCTATTAGTAGTCGTTAATAAATAGTACTATACCCTCCTTTGCGCCAAAATACCCGAATTAAGACCCTTAACTCGGAAATTTGTAATCGATGGAGGGTACAATCGGACCGAGTCAATCGTAACCCCCCACCACTTAAGTTTTAATGAAATAGTACCCGAACGATACTAAAATTGCTTCAACGATACCCAACAGTCGTTGCGGATGTTGTCCCTGATGTCCCTGTTGAGTGTGGAACACGTCGATCAGCTTGCCACTCTACCCTCCGGTCACCGGCAAAATCACCATTAACGTGCTTAAGCATCCAACCCTTCACCAAAACACACAATCTTTCTATCAGAAACGATATAAATCAATCTGAAACAACAACAAATAGGAAGGTCAGATCACATCTCGTCCGGAAATAACATATAAACTGTCACTATGTTTTTTACTGTTTTTGGTCTTTTTTGGGTTTTTTACTGTTTTTTGTACTTTTGTTTTCAAATAAAATTATTTTTTGGCTTTTTCTTGGTTATACACCTTTTTTGTTTGGTTTTACGCTTTTTCTTTAATTGTTTTTGGTCCTGGGACCTCAGGACAAGCGGGCTCTAGATTTCCCACCTAACCCTCCGGCCCCCGGAATTTTCGGTGTTAACTAAGTTAAAAAGCTAAATAGTACTGGACGGAGGGTACGCACCTTCCCCCCAGTACAATAACGGTCATTAAGGCCTCTACCTCGGGCTTACGCCCGGAACGGAGGGTTCGTCGCTGAAACGCTTGCTGATCATGATGGTCTTATGCCTTTGACAGGCCCACCCAGGAGCGCCATAAAAACGTCTATGTAACATTCGCCCAAATACTACACAGTGACGGAGCGTAGAAAAAGTACCTATTAACGACTGGCAGGCGTCAGTTACCTTAATTCTACTCGTTTTTCACCGTCTCGACCTTGCCAGTTGATTTTCTGGTCTGTCTAGGGCTAAGTAAAAAGTTACCATTTTTAGGCCATCAGTCAAACAACTTTTGATCAGCTTTCGTTTACATGCAAACACAACCACATAGCTGAGTCTCGGATCCTCAGACTACGTGATTGTCATTAAAAACACGGCTCGAACAACCTATTTTAATATGTTTTTATGTGACAGTTCTATATTAAATCCATTGGAGATGGATTGACCCTTTACTCTTTCTAGCTGCTCATATTCTGAAATATCAAACAATAACGGTGTTAATTAAGAGATCTATGACATTCCAGCAGCTATAAAGTTAGTTTATACAGTCCCTTCACATAGAACAGTCTCTGGGGGACCAAGCCTCCGCTCCCGTGATATTCCAGCGATAACGCTCTTATCTCCTCCAATTTGTGTCCCGGGAGGGTTCCGTGGTGTATTTCTTCCCCCACTGAAGCCTCCTTCTCCACCAATGTCTGCTGACAAGTGTCTTATCGTGCGTTGTTGTCACGATAAGAGGCTTCGTATTTTCCGTGTCTGTTACGACTGTTTTTCACAATATCTGTCGTTGTTCTGATTTTCGTATTTCTGAGAAATATTCTTCTTCCAATCGAAATTTTAAAAATAAAAATTCTAGAATATTCCGACCCTCCTTTGCAATGCTTTTTCGTCAATAAGGCCTTTAGTCGTTCTTTTTTACGTCGCCGGAAGGTTGTGCTGTGCCAGTCTGGCAGAATGGCACATTCGCCAACTTCTATTAAGTCTTTTTCCGCGCGGTTTCTTTAGTTAGAGGGATTGAACTACGTAGTAGCTCACTGTACAGAAGCTTTTTGCTGTTCGGAAAAGCTCGAATATATGAATTTTTGTGGTCAGACAGTTTGGCCGAAAATCAGTAATTTTCGAAAAAAAATTGGTGTTTCTCGGGTCTTAATAGGCGATAAGTAATATACCCTCATTTGCACCAAAATACCCGAATTAAGACCCTTAGCTCGGAAATTCGCAATTTTATTCAATTTATCTTATTACTTTAAATTGTCATTTTTTTACAGGTATTAAATCCTATCCAATCAAATACTTTTTTCTGCATAGGTATCATTCTTTTGCGCATTTATGAAACTTACGTCTTTCTATCTCTGGTTGGCTCACGGCGTGTCTAATTTATGGCATAACTAAATTTTGCTACGTAACCTGAAAAGCCGTATACTTTGCCTTAAAACCTTTTCTGTTGCTAGTACTTCGTAAATCGTTGTATCAACGAGAATCAACATGCATCTGGCAATAGCTGCGGGAAGCGTTTTGCCTCAGCCTTGTGTCTGGCTCTTCCCTTAAACAAATATTGCATCTGGCTCTTCCCTTAAATAAATATTGCATCTGAAATAAATATTTTTAGTTTAACGCAATCATATTCCAGTTCGGATTTCATACTAGATTAAAACAAGAAGAATTGTATTTTGAAATTCAAATTTCAAAATCTTTAAAGTTTGCAATACGCCTAAGTGTCAAAAATCTGTCTTCAGTGGACTATGACTGCCGCGAAGAGTACATCTAGTAGTAGCTCTCAACAGAGTAGTGCATCTTCTAGTGGAACGTCAAACAAACCAAATGCGAAACAAGACGAAATTGTTAAAGGTTTTCACAAATTGAGACAAGAGCAACATGTTCTGAGCGAAAAGACATCGGACTTAAAATCAAGAATATCAGAGCACAAGAGCGTTATTGCAGCATTAGAAAAAGTTAGTACTTTATTTTTATTGCTCTTTTCCTTTTCAACCTACTGCTCCCATGATTACTCTAGAGATAGTAAGTATTGTAACCGGGTATTCGACTATGTACCGTGAATAACTGTTCACTTAATAGATTAAAAACTGTTCACTTAATAGATTAAAAACGTCAGTCATTTTGGCAGGTGAAGCTTGAGATTTAAGTGTGTGACTTTCTTGACTTTTCCAATTGTCCTTTCATAAAAAGGCGTGTTTTGTTTTTCTCTATCTAATTTCTTACCCTTTTGGATGTTTCTTATGTTTTTTTCCGTAAATAATTTTGTTCGCAGGATGACTGAAATTTGGTCAGCTCCATCTGTATCTCCATTTCTATTCAATTTGCACTTAAAACAGCTGTAATTCAACAGCTGGCTTAGAACTACTGAAGTAATTAGCAAGCGTTATCAAATCGGACTAAAGACTTTTTTCGGATTATCAACATGTTTAATAGAATCAATTGGTATCTCGTTTCAAAATGAATTCAAATTTCTAAGCCTTTCCGGTACACTTAGTCTGGAGGTAAAGAATACGCCCGGGACACCGAAGGTCCTGGGTTCGAATCTGACAGAACCTTTTTTTTTTTCAAACGGGAAATAGTCCGTTTCAAAAAAGTTGTCTGCTCATGTTTTGTCGGCTTAGTTGCCATATTGTTGAATTATTTCACTATAGTTTTTTTCCACATTATAATTGCTTTTGGTATTCTGATTTATCTCTGCTGTTTGTAATTTTACTAGCCTTGACTTCGTAAATCTTTTTTTTTTCGTTTGAAAACTTTATTCTGCCCAAATGGTTTCGGCCTATTTTTTATCGGCTCAATGATTTAATTTTTGTCATTTCAAGTGGAACATATTTTTATAGTCACCTCTGGAACGCACAAACTGCTAAAAACTTTTAATAGATTTATACTTCAAGTTTTCGATGACAATTTTTTCCGGCTTTTTTCTTTTTTTTCCCTTGTTTTTTCGGCTTGATAAGTTTCGGCTTGTTGACCTCATATTGGGTCTTCCGAAAAGCGAAAAAAGTTTTGTGTGTGCGTGTCAGTGTTTTGAGGGTGAATAACTTCTTGGAGGGTGTGGGGACATATTAACTTTGCAAAAGTCTGAAGTCTTGTATCGCTGGGTACCTTATCTGCTGATGCTTATTTAACACTCCAATGTCTTGTTATGTTTTTGTTTCAAAACTAGCTTTATTCATTTTCTTCTAGAATTTTTTTTGAAAGTTAGGTTTTAGATTTGTTCTGCTTAAAAGTTTTGCCCGAAATCTAGGAGTGTGCTTTTTCTGGCTGAATTTTTGAGAAAAAGAATTTTCATGTTTTTTTTTCATTTCCTGTATTGGATTTTTTTGTTGTGATACTGCTCTTTTACTGTCGCGTATAATTTTCATGTTTGAGTTTTTTTGTTCAAATCGGAATGTAGACTTTTTCGGGTTAACAACTAGTTTAACAAAATCAGGCGAGTCACTTATGGTTGGGTGCTAGCTTCGTGTGTACTAAGTTACTATTAACTACTGGGTGTGTGCTAGCTACTACAGGGTAGTTTCAGCGGGACTTGAATTTTTAAAAGTTCTTCACAAAATCTTTTTTTTTCGGGTCAACTGGTGTCTGCTCAAAGATTGTCGGCCTTGTTTCGGCTTTGTAAAATTGTTCAGCTTCAATTTTAAATTTGAAATTTCATATTTGGCATGTGTGCCTAGAATTTCTGTTCCATAAAAACAGTTGTTTTGAAAATGTTTGGGATCGGATTTTTTTATTTTATTTTTTGAGACGCTTTGGAAAAGTTCTTCACTTTTCGCAAAAAATTAAGTTTCTTCCTTTTACCGAGTTTCAAAAAGTTTGTATCCATAGGAAGACCGCCTAAACATTTGTGTTCCGGCATACTCTCCTGGTGTCATTTTGCCTTACCAATTTACTTTGTCTGCAGCCTTAGAAAAAGTTTGTAGGGAGAATGTTGGACTTTTTTCGTTTTCTCAAAAACTAACCTACCAAAGCTGAGGTTTTGTTTCATTGAATAGATCGATTTATGAAAGCTCCATTCTATAAGTGGCTACGCGCAAACTTTTTTTAAAATTTGAATTATGGACCTCGGAATAGTAAAGTTTTGGATCTTTTTGACCGTTTTTGAATGTTTTTAACTTTTAATGAAACTTAAGTTGTGGTAAGCTTCCCTGCATAAGCTACTAATCAATTTATTCGTCGTCCGCGAAAAAGACGAGAAAATTATTGTCCTCGGAAAAGTCAATTTTTTTGATTTTTTGAGCGTTTTTTTAAAAACTAAATTCTAGAGTTTTACCAAAAAATACCCACTCATATTTGAGATTTTTGTTTCAATACAAAGAACGGGTTGTGGGAAGATCCTCTGCATACGCGACTGTGCCCAATATTTTGTTTTGTCACCAAAAATTATGGCCCTCGGAAAAATCAAAGTTTTGATTTTTTGACCGTTTTCAAAGCTTTTCTCGAGAGCTACCCTACCAAATTTGGGTTTTTGTGTTCAATTAAAGTTACAGGTTGAGCGAATCTCTTCTGCATCAGCGGCCATCCGTAAATTTTTCTAAACAAAAAGTTGTTGTCCTCGGAAAAGTCAATTTTAAGATTTTTTTGAGCATGCATAGGAGCGGTTTTTTTTTATTTTGTGACTGTTACTGAAAAATAACTCTCCCATATCTGAGATGGTCTCGATTCAAAGAAGGGGTTTTGAGAAGCTCCTATGCATACTCGACTGTGCCCGTTTTTTGAAATTTTGGCTTTTCTCGAATTACCTGCCAAATCTGATTTTTTGGTCTAATCGAAATTTAAGTTTGAGCGAATCTCTTCTGCTTAAGTGGCATTGCGCAAACTTTTTTAAACAAAAAACTATGATACTTGGAAATGTAGGCTACCCGATTTGCTGACTACCCTATTTGCTGACCGTTTTTTCTCGATAACTATCCTGCCAAATCTGATATCATAGGTTTAATCGACACAACAGGTTGTTGGAAGCTTACGTTAAGAAGTTGCTACGCTCAGTTCCCTTTGCAAAAAAAGTTATTGTCCTCAAACTAGTAAAAGTTTTGAAACTTTAACCTTTTTCTGGAAGTTTTGTGACTTTACTCGAAAAATATCGTTCCAATTCTCAGTTAAGTGATCAATCGAGAAACCCGATTTGGGGATTTCTCTCTTCTTAAATGACTACGACCTGCTTTTAGCAGTAAAGAGTTAACGATTTCGGAAAGTCGAAGCTTTTGAATTTTGATCGTTTTTTAGGAACTTTTGAATTTTCTTAGAAACTACCCCTTTCAAATCTGAGATGAAAAGTTCAATCGAAAGATGCGGTTGCGCGAATTTTTTCTGCAGAAGCGGCATCTTTATATTTTTGTGTAAAAGAAGTGTTATGTCTTTGGAAAAATCTCAATTTTTCACTCTTATTTAGTTTAGTAGAGAAAAAACTAAGGTTTTAGGCGAATTCCATTTTTGAAATTATGTGCTCTGTAACGCTTCAATTTAACAAAGCAAAAAATATATCAAACACGTACATCCAGCTTTATGTGGGCTCTAGGTGTTCTTCATCGAGTTATACGAAAAATTTTGTTCACCTAGTTTTTTCATTTTTTTTTCCATTTTTTGATTATTTTTTATAGCAAATGGTGCGAAGCTCAGCTACACCTTTTTTTTTTAGTTTTTCAGGCTTTTTCTTTGGTTCTTATATTATACTATAGCGGATAGGCCTTTTTTTAGTAGCGGATAGGCCTTTTTTATCCCCGATTGTTTTTGTGGGATATGCAGGTTGTTTGGTTCAAAGATTTTATGAACCGTTTATGATTTTTCGTATCTCATTTTTTACCGAAGTGTTTTCTTTTCGTTTCCATCTATTGCTTATCAGACAGAAATAGTTAGAGTTGAGCCAAAATTCTTCTTTTTGGATCAGAAAACTAACTTCTCTAACAATATTAAGATTTTTTTTATTTTTCTGCCTACGATTTCAACAAATTTCATTCAAATTTTCCGTTTTTGTTTGAGACACTTTGTTTTTGATTTTGGCGCTTTTTGGGTGTATAGCAAGTGGTGCGAAGATTACCATCGCCGCAGTGTAAAAGTCATGTAATCGGTTTGGTTTTACAGCTCTCCAGCTTTATATTAGTTGTATTTTAGAAATTTTACCTGTTTTAAAATGTTTTGGGTTTTCTCGATGCGTAGAGTTTGATTCAAACTGAATTTATTTTCGGTATCAATTTCAAGCACAAATACCAATTCGTATGATTTTCGTTCATTTTTAGCTGTTGCGATAATGCTGAGTGATAACGCTTTGTGCTGATTTTTGTTTTGTGGATACAAACAAATCAAGTTTTGCAAGTATTACGTGAATTTATTTCAAGTATCTTGTGCGTAAATTGACCGACCGATGAAGTGTGAAAGATTTACCGTACGTAGGGCTACAATAAATCAGTAGACACCCTCATTAAAAAATATATATCGATTAAATATTGTTTTTTCAGTTTCTTTATCGGGAAGCCCAGATTTTTGCAACCAACCATTACAGGGTTTGGCAACGATATGTACATTTTTTTAATCTATGAATTAGAAATTTATTACCGAAGAGAAAATACAGTTTCTTCTAAATTGTGGGGGTTCACCTTCATATATCTAAGCTGCCGTTTCATATACGCCCACGCGCTCTCTATTGGATTTAAGTCGACTTAATGACCCAGTGGTCCGAAAACCACTGATAGACAATCTCAGACCGGTGAATAGACCAATGATTGTCTTGGTTTATGTAACCAACCAAATTTTCCATTACTGCCACTAACAAATCAATATATGAGACATTTTGTACATGTTGTAGGCGGCTTGAGAACTAAAATCGATTCGAACTTCGTGCAGTTGTGTTTTCGGGAGCATATATTGTCCCACTCTCTCGCCAGACATAAACCCAGCCATCACTAGACTGTCCAAAACGGCATTCATCGCTGAAAACAGTCTTCTCCCATTGCTCCACCGAGCGTTGTTATCGAGCCCTGGCCCATATTAAGCGTAAAACTTGATGTTGGTAATTAAGAAAAATTTTCTTTGCTGCTGCTCTTCCTGTAAATCCCATTCTGTGCAGATCGTTCCTCTAAGTGTTTTTGTGAATAGTTTTTTTTTGCTTTAAACTTAAATAACACTTTTTCTCCTTGGATATAATGTTGTCATCTTTCATTCATCTGATTTGTCTGCATCTTCGTTTAATGTTATCGGACACCCTGAACGCTCTGCGTCCTCAAAACCACCATTTTGATGTAATTTTATACTTTGTTGCAGCTGTCGAATGAAAAGATTGTCCTAATTTTTCTGAGATTTTCCGTCAGGGCCAGCCAAGTTCACATAAAACCACAACTCGGCATCTTCTTTGTATTTTTGCATTTCAAACCATAACGCGAAAAATCAAAATTGCATGCACAGCATGGCGTAAAAAGAAGACCTCAAATTTAATTTCAAGTTTAGACGTGAGTGAAATCTTTCTCACAGTGTCGTCTTTTTTATTGTTGACCAATGTCTAATTCAGTTTATTATCACCTGAAATGAATCTAAGCAAAAGTCATATGAGACTATCTATTCGCCAGTTGACTGTTTTTGATGTTATTGCAGCTCAGACTCCTTCTTCGTATGTGTAGTAGCATTTGCTTTTTTTATAAATCATATTTCATATCATTTTGTAAACTGTTAAAGGGCAGTCTTTCTTTAGGTTATTGTTTTACTATAAGGCTATCCGCTTCAACGCTTTCATGAACTATTACTACTCTTGCCGAAAAAACGTTTAAATTATTTAAACTTTAGTTAATTTGTTGCTTAGGTGTCCAAGGACCGAAAATGCTACAGAATGGTGGATCAAGCGTTAGTGGAACGAAAGGTAGAAGATGTTTTGCCGGAACTAGTTCTAATGAGGTCAAATTTAGAAAACTCTGTCAGTGTCCTTCAACAGAAATTGGAGGAAAAAGGAACTGAGTTAGTGAACTACAAGGCCAAGTTCGATATCAGGATTCAGGGAGAAGAAAGCTGAAGTTCTATTGCCGTCTGTGTGATATCACTTGAAGTCCATGGTTTCTTCTGCCTGTTTGTGTTTGAATTGCTAAATGAGGTTTATGATTCGAATTGTACATTAGGACAAAAACTGGGCTGTCTATTTTTCGCTGCTAATAATGTCTATAGTATGTCAATAGAAAGTTTTCCAGTTTCAAAATCCAGAAGAAATGCCTACTGAATAAAGCGATAATGAATAGTCATCAGAATTTAAAAAAATTTCCGAAATATTGCTGAAATCTTATAAAGAAAATTTTTATAAACCAGGTTTCGATCAACCAGGTTTCGATCAATTTTTATAAACCAGGTTTCGATCAATTTGAGCTTAAAATTTGTTCTAGCTCAAATTGACTTTTTCGCGGTTTGACTTTCATTTCTTTTTAAGTTCAGTTCATTTCCTTTGTTAAAAGAAAGGCAAACTCCACTATCGACCAGCAAAAGTCTAAAGGTCACGAAAACTGTGATCGACTTAGTTTTGAACGTGGAATTTAATTTATTTCCAGATTTCACAGCGGAATATAAAATTCATCTATCGATACACTTATCTCAAATCGGCTAAGCTTTATCAAAAAAGTGTGAATCATAATTTGTTCTGGAATTTCAAGGGGCCTTCAGGCAATATTTTTTCTTTGAACTTCGAAAATTGAAAAAGTTTTTTTTTCTTTCCCTGCGTTCATGACTTTTCCAAATGTATCTTGACAATGTTTTTTCCTTGAGTAACTTTGTTCACAGGACTCATTCATCTGCTGGGCCTTTCTGTTGAAATAGCTTGTTAGCTATTTAAGTATCCGGCCTAATTGAAATATGCTTTTTATCTTGGTGGTTGCAATTTTACCGACTCGATTTGCTAAAATTTCTCTTTTTTTAAACATTTGCGAAGCGAGTGTATTAGTACGAAACTTCTTTTTTTTTCAACCTAAGTCGCAAATGTTTTAGGGCACTTTCACAGCTTTTTCATAGCATGTGCTTTGACATTAGAATAGTAATAAGTTAACACAGTTGATGCATTTTTAATTCAACAAGTGAACCGAAAAAATAAATTTGTTTCAAACTTTACAATAATGAAAACTCGATTTAATAAATTTTCTTCTCAATATATCTCGCAATTTTTTCTAATGCATAATTTATCCATAATGTGACTTCTTTATTTTTTGCAAAATTGAGTCTATTTGTTTTTGGTGCCACTTTTGCTGAATGGCATTGCAATTTATTACCTTATGTAGCTGCTTTGTTCGTGACTAGTGTTTGTCGGCTGTTAAGCTTGCGTTGTTGAGTGGATAGTGCGTGAGACTCAAAATCTCTTGATTGCAGTAGGTCTCAGACTCGAATCCTACACGTAGCGAGCTTTTGCTAATTCGAGGGTTATTTCTACTTTTTCTTTTTTCATTTCATACAGCTGCTTTTTGGTCATGTTCTCGCAATTGATTGCGAAGCGCAGCTTTGCCTCTGTGTTCACGGTTATAATTTTACCAACTAGATTTGCTAAAATCTCTTTTCTCATTTTTTTTCCGGCTCAATAGGTTTCGACCTATTTTATATCGGCTTAGGAGCAGTTTTTTGCTTCGTTCAAGGACCAAAAAAGTTTTTGCATGAGCGTGTGTGTTCTGAGGAAAAAGATGGGTTAGAGGTTTTTTATTAGTTAAGAATTTATTTGATTTTTTTCCAGGCATGAAGGCTTTCTGCTCAGGTATTTTTGGCTTTGATACCGCTTGATTATTACAAATTCGATTTTAATCAACAATCCGATGCATTTAGCGTATAGATAACACAACTGCCTGATGTGGCGAAGGCTTGTGGTTCGACTCTAACCAGGACTTGTTTTTTTTGCAAACTAGGTTTTGTGCTTTTTCGGACTGTTGTCCGTCTGTTTATTTTTGTCTGCCTAGTTACCGTAGCCCGACTATTTGAAGGTTCAGCTTTCTTCCAAGTTGAAACGACAACGCCCGGGAGTTCGATTCCAGTTTAGACCTGTTTTTTGCGGACTGAAAATTTTCTGCTTATTTTGATTATTGTCTGTCTGCTTGTTTTTTTTCGGCTCGCTTAGTTCCACTAAAAGGACTTTTTTTTCAAAATTGTGTTTTTTTTAGCATTCAGAGAGCTCTTCGTAAAGTTTTAATGGTGCAGGTATTTCAATCTGGATATTTTGGGGTTTGTTGCAGTTTTATCGACATAAACATTTCTTTGAAGTGTTTTTTAAAAAAAATTTTGTTTGGTTTTAATCGTAGTCATTCATTTTTGCATCAAAACTAGTGCGAAGCTCAGCTTTCTTTCTGTATGCAGATTGGAAAAACGATAGCCGGAATATTCCGACCAGTCTTTAAATTTTTTTCAATTTTGTGTGATTTTCGGCATAATGTGGAGCTGAACGAAAAACTAGAGAGTAGAAAAATTCGATTTTCGTAGTAGAATAATCAAATTGAAAAAAAAAATTCTGCAAAAAATGACCAGAAAAACAAAAAAATCAAAAAACGAAATTTTTGCAATTTTTGATTTCAAAAAGGTGCTAAAAATATTATAGCTATTATGACATTAAAATAAGCTATTGTAAGCCTGCTCGTTCGCTTTATTCGCCTGAATGAAGTCGAAAAAACATAAAATTTCAAAGCGGTTTTTCTCGACACTGGATTTTTTTGAAATTTTTTTTGAAAAAAAAACTAAAACACTCGAATACAAAGTTCCTCCTTATTTTTCAAATGGTCAGAAGAGATTTTATTCATAGTGTAGAACTCTCTGAAACCAAATGCGAAACTTGTTCTGCGCGCTAAAACAGTAGCCCAGTTAGAACTGAGTGTAATAATAACTATTAGCTATCGCATCTGTGTAAAAATTTATTGCAAAGCCTCTCAAACTGAAAGGACTCTTTGGAAAATGGTTCGATTTTGCTTTCAGGTTAAATGTGATTTTTTGTTTATGCGGTATGCTTTGAAATACTGCAACTTTTCAGAAGTTCTGTCAACATATTGCGATGAGACATGGGTAGTCTTGACCGCATCGGACAACTTCAAGCGGCAAAAGCGTTTCTCAGATTCTGCAAACATAACAAGTCATCGGCTTCTAGTACGGGACCCCCAGGCCATGAGAAAGCAAACCAAAGTTCTTCTCTCATCGGTGTGAGCGACTTCGACAAACTCGTAGCCAAGACGAATTTATCCCGGCAATTCATCTTGAAACAAGTGAACGAATCTGAAAATCAAGAGCAACAAATTGCAAATTCACAAATACCATTTTCGTCGCTAGCGCCAGTTCTTAAAAACGATGTTTATTTGGAAAAGAGGACGCAGTTTACACTACCTGGTCACGACCAAAGTTCACCGAAGTTCAAAAACGTCCGAATTATAGAGTTGGAAGGGAAATGGAAATACTGGATCCCAACGAAGCATGTCAAGTCTTCTGATGAAGATATAATTGTACGTTATTTGAACAAAAATGGTATAAATACTCCTGATGTGATACCGTTGCCTCCCAATGCTCCCTCGTCATTTAATCGGGAAGAGTTTCTGAAGAAATGCAAAGCTGTTAAATTTGGCAATGAGTCACTGACCTTTCACGAGACTCGCAAGCTGCCGAAGGAAATCAAATCTAATATTTCTGGACTCACAGATTCGAAAGATGTGCGGCAAAAAATTGAAGACCATCTCACACCTCTTTCTGCAGAAGATGCTTTGAACAGTAAATGTTCAGAGCATGCAGAAAAAGTGCTTGATAGTGATTGTATATTATTGTTCTCAGATCAGCCAGAAGACAAAAAATCGCCTCATATTAAGTTCAGTCCGGGTAAGAAATGTCCTCCTGGTCGTTTTAGTGAGGTCGGAAATTGGATCTCAGTTGAAATGAATAATTTATCAGTGCCGGGTCATCAAATGGATTTCTCGTTCTATGATTCTGATGTGAAGTTTCTATACGAGAAGTTAGAAGGCGAGCAAAGGGTTTTGGCGACCAATTTGAAAGTGTATTCTACCATTTGCAGCAGTTGGAGAGCGTATTTGATGAGTACTAAATTGGAAGTTGTGTCTAAGGTGTTGAGGTTGACTCCGGAACACGACAAGGGCAAAATATGTGTTCGTTGGAGGGTAAAGACTCTCTCTCCTCTGAGGTTTGATCAATTAATATAATATAAGTTTCTGTGTCTTACTTAATTCAGGGGGTTCTGTTTTTCAGCAAAAAAATTGAGTGCACTAGAGTTGAACGATCCAAAAAAATTATCTGACGTTTTTTGCCATATGTCAATTAAAAGAAGTTTTGTCTAGTTTTCTATTATGTCAGTTAAGATAAGTATTCCATACTTCATTGTAGAACTTTGTTTTGTGACAGTTCAGTGCAAAGGAAATTGGTCGCTTTTGGAAAAGTAAACAATTTATTGAAAGACAATTTAGTTAGTTTAATGGATGCGTATCTCGACAAAATCTTATAAATAGATACTGTCACCCGTTGTAACGTGGCCATTTGCTTGCTATGAATTGCTAAACTAATTAATTTCAGTTTCGTTTTTATAAAATGCTATGAAGTTGAGATTTTTTGTCTGCGACCAATTGTCTCCTTATGTTATGAAAAATGGTATTCATATTTTCTTGTTCATGTTTAGCGTGTTTGCACCTCTATTGGGAAAAAGAGAGAAAAACTACTCGTACCTCGATTATTACTCCGAGTTCTACGTGAACGAAAACGGGTTCATAACTTGCCACGTCATCTCAAAAGTGGCGCCTACAAACTCAGGAGCTGAAATTTCACGCTCGAAAAGAATGGCAGCCGGAGCAATGGCGACTCTTTTTGGCCTCTCCGGCAGCGGAAGCGATCAAATGACGTCACCGATTCCCGCCGTGGGCTTCAAAAGTCTGCCTGATAGTTTAAACAGTTCAATAGTTGAAAAGCATTGAATGTGCATACGTATTTTTTCTACAAACCTGCCACAAAATAGACAACTAATATGTATTCAAATTCAGTTGGTTCTCAACTTAGTGTAGTTTATATTTTTGTACATTTTCTTGGAATTTACAATTGAGTTTTCAATTGAATTCAAAGTTTTCTGCGAATCTAAAAGCTGTTTGCATTTCAGATTAAATGTCCAGTTATGCGCTATAAAACACTGCCGTAGTTTGTCGGTATATGACGCATAAATACTGTCCACGTTTCTGCTTGTAGCTTGCTGGCTACTTTCTGGTGCTATGTGACTTTTTTGTTAACTATCTGGTGTGTTAATTTGGTTTCTAGTCTGTAGTAAAAGATGATGGATTCTAGTGTTTCCGGCGGCTCAGTGGAAAGGGGTGGAGGGATGTTGCAGCTCCTAGGAAGGTCTTTGGAGTGTGCCATCTGTCTAGAACGACTGCGCGTGAATGACAATAGAGTGCTGCCATGCCAACATACGTATCATTTAGACTGTTTAAAGTGAGTCATCTTTTGATTTTAAGGCCTTGGGTAAAGACCAGCATACGCGCAATTCAGCTCTTTTCGGAGGACTGCTGTTGACCTGAAGTTAAATATGTTGGCCTTGAAAGCCTGTTATACATTTTTTGAAAGGATATAAAGTAGTACTCAAAGAAGGTGGTGTGTAATGATCGAATGTAGGGATTTTTGATATTTTCTCCATTTCCTTTGGAAATTGTATTACAACCTTGTCGAATCAAAAACGTTTCCAACACGATATACAAAGTAAACCAAGGATAGCCGGCTGCTGTGGAAGCCGCTCAGAAAGTTCCGATTGCAGTAATAAAAAACCGTTTTTTTGCGTCAGTGTTGTGAAGAGAGCTTATGAAGAAAAGCGTAGAAGAATATTCGATAATCAGCAAAATGTTTGAAAACAATAAAGAAATTCAAAATTTAACTTTTTAATACTTAAAGCAGCGTCCTATTATAAGCGTGCCGGCTCGCTTTATTTCCGCGAAATTGGACTAAAAATCAAAAACTAACTAAAAGACACCCGAATGCAAAGTTTCTTCCCACTTTCATTGGTCAATGACGAAAGATATTTAACTAGTTATTTTTGATAAAATTCATAGTAAGTTAACAGTTTTCGCTGCGGGGAGTAAAATTGTGGTTTAGTGCATTTCGGTTTTGTATTCTTGTCTCTGAATTGTTGCTATCAAGGTTTTTGTGATCTTCAATTGTGCCTCTATTTTTGATTATTGCTGCTTTTTACAATTTTTAGCCATTGTTTTTAGGTTGGTTCTATCGCGTGATAAGCAACTTACATGTCCTGAATGTCGTAGAGTGTCGAAAGTTCCGATCGACAGACTACTGCCAAACTACACGCTTAATAAAGTGCTGGAGACTATGCCAGCAATGCCACAATCATCCTTCGCCAATTACAACACTTCACAAACATTAGACAGCAACTCATACCAATCATCATATCTTCAACCATCACAGACATCTATTGAAGATACGTTGTCTTCAGAGAAGCTATCTGCTACCTCGAAGTAAGTGTGCTGAACCCTAATCGAAAGTTTTAAAGTAATCAAAAATAATCAACATTTTGCTCCGAATTTGTTGCTTAAAATAGTAGAAAACACGCATCTTTCAATTCATTTTTAATGTATAAAAATACATGTCTTCTTTTGTTCTGGTGTTTTAACTTTTTGGACAGAAGTTTGGAGAATTTGGACCGAAATGATCTCCTCTTGTCAATCTATCCTTGATTAAAAATCTAGTTCTTTGTAGTAAGTTTATTCGGTATCAACTTAAATCCTGAATTTTAGAAGCGGTGCTGAAGGAATCAATTACATGCAACAAGGAAATCTCTGCAAAGCCATCTATCCCTACAAAGCACAACATCCAAGGTAAGTGGCTTTACTTAGTTTAGGGGGGGGGGGCTTGGCTGGGTTTGTCTCCTTGAAGAAGCCAACATACATAAGATTTTTGAAGCTTCGGAAAATCAAAAATCCAGTTCCTGTATTAATTCTTGTCGATTCATTTGAAACCTTTTTGAAATTGAAAATGCCTTTTAATCTAGTTTGACTAAAGCTATTTGTATTTAATGTGTTCAATTATCATTGAACGAAGTAAAGAAACTTAGGTGGTGTGGTTTTTGTTTTTCAAATTAAAGTTAAAAGTTCAATTCGTTTTTTTCATAAAAGGAAGGCAAATTCCACTGTCGAACAGCGAAAGTATAAAGATCACAAAAAATGACTAGATTCAAAAATGGTCTTCAAAGTTTCGAGTTCCTCGCTGAATAAAAAAAATACCGATCGATCCAGTTATAAAAAAATGTAACAATCATCAAAGATTCTTGAAATTCAAATAGCTTTAAGGTGTACATGTTCCCTTGGAAACTCGAATGATAAAAACTTTAAAATTTTCTTGAGACATTTGACACTTCCAACTGCATATTGGCTATGTTTGTTTCAGTTGCTTGTCTTTGAATGAAGGCGAGGTCGTTAAAGTGCTGGAAATTCTAGACAACAACTGGCTGAGAGGGGAAGGCGTGTCCAGTTCGAACGATAGAAGAGTCGGATTGTTTCCAGCCAATCACGTTGAAGTAATCCATGCCTCTGAAAACATTCCTCTGTGCACTGCTCTGTTTGATTTCGATCAACCGAGTCACAGTCAGCCGACTTCAACCGGCATGGCGCTACTTAACTTCAAGAAAGTTAGTATCTAGAAATGAATCGTGTTATTTCACAGGTCCCCTTCCCTCCCTCATTAGCATGCAAATCAGATATGTGATTTAACCGGTAGTTGAACAAGGCTATGTTTAGAAAACAGTTGTGTGAAATTAGAGATTTAACTTAGTGTTGGTACATGATTCAGTGTCAATTGACCGACATGATTTGAAGTTAAATCAAGGAAATTTTCATTGTAGTACAAACCTCAGGGAAGGATGCGGTGTCTTCACATATTCAAATGAATAATTCATGTTGATTTTAATCATAACTTGTGTACTTACCGTATATATTTTTGTTTAGGACGAGTTGATAGAAATTACAGCCAAAATAGACCAAAATTGGGCAAATGGAAGGACTAGAAACGCGTCAGGAATCTTCCCGCTAAACTTTGTCGCTGTAAGTGTCTCCATTAAAGCTAGGGGTTTTATGAAGTAAAAGAGGCAAAGCATTTTTCGGTTATTGTGAGAGAAATTCAGATTCCTATGGCAAGCGTCTTCAGGTTTGCCAGGTATACGACTCCTTAATAATCTACTAAGTCAAGTATCCGTGATTAAGAATCTTTACGATATTGCAAGTTTTTTTGGCCCTTAATCATTTATAATTTATCAGGTCAATAACTGCGCTCGTGAATTGCTGCTCGGAAAGAGTGCTGCAGAAGCAATATTGCCAAATAAATCATCAGTCTCGTCGAGTGATCACTCAGCTATCAATATTAGCACACCGTCAGATCAAATTGTGCCTCAAAAGCATCACCTCAAGTCTTCCTCACTTTCATTGCAACTTAGACAGTTGTCTTTAAATGAATCAGGCGACACAACTGAAACTACTTCTACACACGAAAGGGTTGTTTGTAAGAGCAATACAATCAGTGGCTATCAATATGATATTGTTGGACAAAACAGACGTCATAGTGTTAACCCTACGAGATCAAATGAAAACTGTTTGGAAGCGAGCAGCAGGAAATCATTACAAGTTGAAGATTATACAGCAGGCCGAAGTTACGCTACCTCAAATTACAACGCGTCATTACCCCGGTTATTTGTGGCCGTACACGACTATAAAGCTGTGAGAAAAGACGAAATTGATTTGATAAGAGGCAACACTTATATCGTGGATTCAATTTGTTCTGATGGGTGGTACAAAGGTGTACCAGCGTCGACTTTTCAGTCTAGCAGCGGAACAAATAATATTTTCTTGAACAGAGGCGCTTTCCCGGGAAATTTCCTGGTGCCTGCAGACCTAAATAATGATGAAACTATGACAAGTAAGTGCTGTTGTTGGGGCGGCTATAATTATACATGTCATATATAAAATCAAAATGGCCATAAAACTTTGCTTTTGAGCAGTTCGTGAATTTCAAAGTTTTTTTGTTACTATCCTTTTATGCGTTTAGAAAAATTGTAAGTTGTAAAGTGTCTATTTTCAGTTTACCTTCAGAAATGCAGTACTAAATTATGTTTGTATCCAGCATAGGGTGAGCACATAGCTTAGGTCTTTTAGCTGATTCTGAATCTGAAATATAGCAATCATTTAAAACGAATTTCTTTCATATCGTGTTTTTGTCGACCAGGTGGGTTTACTTCAGATTTTTTCACGTTTTCATATCAATCAATGCAGAATAAAATTAAATCGAGTGCTTGTATTCTTTTTATTTTGAACCTGTTGTTTTTTTTACTTCGCTGCTTGTTTTATTACACAAGCAAAGCTTGTGTTATAGTATGAACTATCTTTTTTTAACCAACCTAAGTCGCAAATATTGTTGCGACGCACATATTGTTGCGATAAATTGTGTTCATTTTGAAAGTGTTCATTTTGATCAATAACCAGCTATTAAGTACCGCCAATGCTAAGGATTTTAACACCGACTGTTATTGTTCCGACTTTTGTAAAGAAAGTAACGGAATATTTGTGCTCGTGGTGGTTTATTTTCTTCAGACAAATTTTGACTTTTTAACTGAATTTGTAAAATATCATTCAAAAGGTATTGTTCTCCTGAGCTTACATTTGAAAAGATATTTCACCTGTGATCATTTTTCGTAAGTTATGGGGGGTTGAAAATTGGCATTTTGGCCAATTAATGCGCGATATATTTCGCGCTATTACCGCGTAAGCGGAGCTTTAATCCGTCTTAGAAATCGTTACAAATTGGTTGAAGGGAGCTGATTTGCCATATTTGATTTGTTACTTGGAGCGAAATTTATCACTTTGTACTTTATATGGCATGTGGGGTGAGGATTTTCACGAAAAATCCCAAGTTTAAAAAAAATTCTTTTTATTTTTTACTTAGTTTCATGTTATTACTGCTCCGTAGTCCTTAAAAGGCAGTCGGAACAACGATAGATTGAGGCGTGTGCAATTGGTAAATTGCTGTCTTTTTCAAATTGACTGGTTTTACTAATGCGTCATAATTGGCTTGCGTCACTTGAGAAATTTTGTAGACTCAGAGTTTTACTCATTCAGTTTTTCCCAGTAGCGTTATCGGTCATATTTTTGCTTGGTGTATGCGAAGTGCAACTTCGCCTCGTAAAAACATGAATTAAAATTGTTAAAAAAGCTGACTATCTGAAGTTGCTGGGTAAATTGATTCCTTGATAGAAACTGAACAGTTTTGGAAAATGTGTTTTGTTTTCTGTTTAAAATAATTACTATATTTAAGGATTGTTTTACCTGTTAAGGCATAGGTGTGCTGACACCTGAGGTTCCAAGCAAGAGTCTTCCAACCACACCCTTCGGAATGACAGTGCAGCCACCCAGAAGACATGATCCAAATGTGCGTGAAAAAGGAAGCAGGCAACGCAGCCACAGCAAGAGTTCAAGTAACGACACGGAATGCAATAACAGTGTAAGTCAAGGTCAATAGTGACTTATTCAAGTGTTGATTGCTTGATTCTTGTGTTGTGTCTTATTAATAATTCGAACCATTGATGTAAAGCTTACAAGGTCAAATATTGTTTCTACCTACACTGGTGTCTCAACTATAAGGGCCCACTAGTTTTAACTTAGTGATCCCGCATTTTAAAACTGATATTGAAAATTATTGATTAAGCAGAGAAGATTATTTTTTTTAATGCAAAACATGAAGGTCAAAATTTGAGAACCTAAGTTGAAGCGCCTCAAAACAATATAGGGAGAAAGCTGTCAAAATTATTATGGGTGTTATTAATTTTTTAGTCAGATTTTTTTTACGCTTGCGATTAGCAAACGTTATCAAATCGGAATATAGACCTTTTTCGGCTTAAGAACTTGTATAACAGAATCACTTTAACAGGCATGTCGGGCGCATTTAGTCTGGAGGCAACGAATAAACCTGGGATTGCAAAGGTCCTGGGTTCGAATCTGACCAGGACAAGTTTTTTTTCAAACGGGAAATTCTCCATTTAAAAAAAATTGTCGGCTTATTATTTGTCTGTTTATGATTTATCGGCTTAGTTGCCTCATCTTGGAATTTTTTTACTGTATGCAGTTCTCATTGTAGTTGCTTTTTATGTTTTCATTTACTCCAGCAATTTGCAATTCTACTAGCCTTGACTTCGTTTTTCCTTTTTTAAAAATTTTTTTTCGCTTAAAAAATTTTCCTTTTTAAAAAATTTTTTTTTTCGCTTAAAAAATTTGTCGGCCTAAATGATTTCGGCTTATATTTTCTTGGCTTACTCGCCTAATCTTGGGTCGTTCGAGAGAACCCTAATATGTATGCTTTTCTCCAGATCGCACAAAACTTTTAACTATAGTTTCTATGCTGATTTTTTAAAAGTTTTTCGTGACAACAATTTCATTTTCGCCCAAAAATTGTGTTTAATTTTAATTAAACGCCGTTGAATGTGTTTCTGGGCATGTTTTCCGCAAATAAAACATCATTCCAGACAGTTGAAATTTTTTTGAAGTATTTTACTCGTAGTTTCTTCGAAAAATGTTCCGTTTTCTTTGGAATTAGTGGCTCTATTTTCCTTCCTATCTGCTAGCTTGCTATGCTATTTTTGTGGTATCGCAAGTAAGGCGAAGCAGAGCTGCGCATCACTTGCGATTCCCCAAAAAAGTATTACAAGCTAGCAGACGGAAGGAAAAAAGAACCACTACGTTCAAAGAAAACGGAAAATTTTTAAATGTTTAAATTTAAAAACATTTCAAATCAGGTTTTTTCAAATTAAGACACTTTCCAAAATTGACCGGGTTCGAACTTCGCAGTTTGCTCAAATTTAACGAAAAAGGCAAATATTGAAAATATCTCCTTAAAGCTCCTCATGCTACATACACAAATATCTAGACAGACAGGCTCCTTTCGAACTGAAAGTGTGCACCTATATACCTTCATTGATATGACGAGAAATTGAGAAAAGTGATGCAAGACTGCTCTTATATCAGGGCGAAGCCCTGATTGTTCTGACTCCTCTTAAAGGCCAGTGAGAAAGTTTTCGTTTGAAGAAATTATTATGTATGCGATTAGCAAGGGTTATTAAATCAGAATATATATATATATATATATATATATATATATATATATATATATATATATATATATATTTTTTTTTTTTTCGGGTTAACAACTTGATTAACAGAATCACTTGGTGTTTTGGTTCATAATTAATTCAAATTTCTAAGGGTATCCGTCATTTTTAATCGGGAGGCAACGAATACGCTTGGGACGGCGAACGTCATGGGTTTGAATCTGACCAGGACCTGTTTTTTTTTCAAACGGGAGTTTCTCAGTTTCAAAAAAAAATGTCGGCTTATTAATTGTCTGCTTGTTTTGTCGGCTTAGTTGCCCCATCTTAGAATTGTTTTGCTCTATGCAGTTTTATTGTAGTTGTTTTTTATGTTTTCCTTTACTACTGCAATTTGTTATTCTACTAGCCTTGACTTCGTATATTTAAAAAAAATTTCGCTTAAAAAATTTTTCGGTCTAAATGATTTCGGGCTATATTTTATCGGCTCACTCACTTAATTTTGGGTCTTTCGAGGGAACCATAATTTGTATGCTTTCCTCCGGATTGCACAAACCGTTAAAAATCTCAGAGTAGATTTTTGTAGTTCTGGACAACGATTTTTTTTTCGCCCCAAAATTTTTTTACCCTTGCGTTAAGCAAGCAGCGTTATCAAAGTGGCTTATAGAATTTTTTCTAGTTAAGTAGTTTAAAGAATCACATAAATCATTTGATAGCTTGCTTCATTAATGAAGGTAATTTTCATAAAAATGTGCGTCAAGGTATGTGGTGCTAAGGAGCGGGGCTATGTCGCGAAGGATCAAGCATTCGAATCCGAGACCATGCCAGTTTTTCTGATTCGGTGAACGTAGTTCAGACTTTTATATAGGTCTCGATGATTTTTTTTTGATTTTTCAAAGGGAAAATCTTAAAATTTGTTAAGGGTCAAATTTAATTTTTCTCGGCTTGGTTTTTGATTTCTTTTCAAGTTCAGTACATTTCCTTTGGTAAAAGGAAAGTAAACTCCACTATCGAATGTAAAAATCACGAAAAAGTTGATCGACTTCTTATTTTCAAAATGGAATTCAATTATCAGATATAAACTATACCCAATGATCCAGTTTTTGTCAAACTGGGTTAGCTTTATCAAAAAACGCAAATTATAAATAGTTCTAGAATTCAAAGAACTTTAAAGCCATTTATTTTTTTTCGAATTTCAGATGATATAAAAAATGTTCCGTCAAAAATGCTTAATCAGAAAGTCGAAAATAAATATTCATTTTCTTTGAATTTGGATTAGTAATTGAAAGAAAATGTAGCCAACCGTAGTAAAAGTCTATTCGAATCAACTTAAATATCAAATTAATTATCGTCTATGGAATTACTGTTCATGAAGTTGCTCCAGATATTTTACTAGTCATGGGGACAGAATAGTGAACGAAACCAAGATCAAATTTGGTACGTTAAGCATTCGAAGGTTAGAGCTTGTTAGGCGTATTTTAAGTGAAACGCTCTTCAAATTATGTAAAGATAGGGTAAAAAAGAAAACGCTGATGTTTGCAACCTTACAACGTTCCATGGTTGCATTTTATCTCGCTACTTTACAGATATACATTTCGCTTATGCCCATGAAGATTTTTGGTCATTTCCGGTTTCAGCAATGTTTTTATGCTCCATACGTGCGTCTCAAGCGCTAGTTTTTTTATATATATAATCGAATTAAAAATGATTACTTAGTGATCCAGTTTTTTCAAGTTGAAATCGCTTAATGACTCATGCCAGCTAGCGAGCGCAGTGTTTTATTACGATTCTACTTTTTTCTCACCCAACTCAAATAAAAGAGTTCCATCTGGTGTTTATTTTTGCTATGTATCAGTTGCAATTTGATAGCATTTGTTTGGCACTCTTTATTAGTCAAAGAATACTCTTTCTAGATATTCTTGATATGTCGAAGTTTTTATAAAATTCGTCGTCGTGGAAGCAAAAATTGCAGATCCGTAGTTATTCCCCCATTTGAGCGGCTCAATTGTGTCGAATTCGATTTATTCTAAGCTCGTAGAACCTGTTTAAAGCTCAATGCGTTTCAGAGATTGTCATTAGCGATGAAATTTTCGCTTGGAGGTTGTGAAAGAAAAACGGAGTATCAACAACTAACTTCCACTGAAGAAAAGCAAAGCGACGTACCACCGCCGCCTTCACCTCCGCCAGATCGAGAGGATTATTACGAGCAGTACTCGGGATTAATGAAGAGAACAGAGGTTCAGGAAACGCAGCAAACTCGAGAAGAGATAGAACAGTTAGTTGAATTTTTAATAACTTTTCGCATATTTTTTTTGATAAAGTTTAATGTTGCAAAATAGTTAACAAATTTAAACAACCCAAAAAATATTTTCTAAAAGTATTCATTTCGCGAACCGGCAAATTTAACTAACCGGCTAAAACTGATATGTCGCATGCAATTATTGTTATCAATAATTAACTGAACATGTTAATTAACAGCTCCTCACTAAATTGACCAAGTACAGATATCTCAGCCTGCTACACCGTGATTTGGATTTAAAAACTTTAGAGCTGCGTGAAAAAATGTCTAAACGTTCATTAAACTTTTATGAACGAAGTGATTCATCACTTTTTGGGTCGTGGTTTTTTGTTCATTTTCTCAGGAAGGTAAATTAAGCTATGCTATAGCGAAAAGGCAAATGGCGCGAAAAAATATTATTGGCTTTTATTTTTGAAATGGGGTTTTTATTTTTAAGATTTCCCCTGCATAATAGAAAATACACCTAATGAACGTAGAGCATAGGTCGCGATGGTTTTTTTCTTTTTTTTTCGGGGAAAATCTTAAATGTTAAGGCTCAAATTTACTTAACAAATTTACTCGATTTGTCGATTTCATTAAAAGTTCAGTTCATTTCCTTTTTTCTTCGAAAACTGAACAAAAGCCAGTATTTTTTCCGGTTTCTATGAGTTCATTGACACTTGTATGTTGGCTATGTCCTGATTTCAGTTATGTAGCCGTAGCTTCATACCCACCTCAGAACGAAACAGAAGTCGAACTCATTATCGGAGACTTAATCACAGTTCATAAAATTCATGGCGATGGCTGGCTCTCGGGAACACTGGTCAAAAACGGCAGCAGTGGGCTGCTGCCAGCATCGTTCGTAGTACCTGTTTCCAGGAAAAGTCATTCATCGGCTAGGAAGTCACAGAAAAACAGATCACAACATCAAACTTTTTCGGCATTTTTGTAAAATAGTTTGCTCACGAAGAAACTGAATAATTTTGTAAATATAGTAGATTTACTCAGAAATTAGTTTGATAGCAGTTTGATTCGTATTAGGTAGTAGTTGTTAGTAAACAATTTTTATCAGGCAGTGAATTATTCAGGGCAATTACTTCTGAAATTCATCTATTCTTAAATGTTTAAACAAGAAATATACCATTTATCTGTACAAATGATGGTGACAAATATTTAAATAACTCGTGCGGCTGCATATTTTTATTTGAAAAAGAATATTTTTAATGAAATAGTTTTCCTAAAAGTCTAATCTGAAATTTTAACAATGTTAAATGTTATTTGCACAGCCGAGCTGGAGAACGTATTGTTATATTACGAATCCACATGTTTTCCAACACAACTCGCAAATAAACGAACTCATTTGGTGGCATTTTTGAGTGCTGGCAATTTAATAGCACCTATTCTCTGCTTAAATAGTGGCTAGTGTTTGACTTTTTTCAAGCGATCGTGGAGCAGATAAGGTTTTGGCACAGCAAACGTTTTATTTTCCTAGGCTTCTTTTAACCTTCTCGTTAAATTTTTAAATTTTTTCTTGGTTTGTGTGTTGCAGTTGTCAAGGAACCATGGCTCACATGCGAGGACGTGAGACTCTTAAGCGACAATTCGGCGTTTAGTTTCCGGCACATAGCAAAAATTTATTTTTCAGAGCTTATTTCAACCATTTCCTTCCTTAGCTCTTTAACCTTTGAGGATAATTTTTGCTGTAATTGTCTCTCTGGGAGGCGGAGGCAGAAATTGTCTCACTCTGGACAGAGGACTGAAGGAATTTGACAATAAAGCTAATGTATCAAGCGCAACTAGTTAAAAACAATTTTTACACAACGTAGTGTCGTATTTGATATCCACTCTTTCCAACCCTGGTAGCAAATATGAGTGCGTATTTATTTGGAACTTTTGCTGCATTTTTTTTATATTTGGCGTTTTGGCTGTATAGAATTATCTCTTTGCATCTGGATTATTGGTAGCTAGTGTTTGAAGGTTGCTTAGCCCTCATAGGATTTTTGTGAGTTTTATCTTTTTTGTTTCTATGACCTGTAAGAGCTTTTTGCAGTTTGTTTTTGCTTGTTTGCGAAGCTTCACCTTAGTGTAATAAGTACTTCCGGATGAGCAACGGTACAGTTCGATCGACGGGTCCCTCAATTAGATGTTATTGACTTTGAATGTTATAATTCTTGAAGTTTATTTTGACTCAATTTTGACTTCTCGCACTTTGACTCATTTTGGCAAAATTGTGTTTTTTTTCCATAAAAAACGTTTTAAACGTTTAAAACGTTTTAAACATGTTTAAAACACCTTTTTTCCCAGATCAACGTATAATTGCTCCCACGACATCTCAAGTGTTAAAAACTGGAGTACGAAAAATTTATTCGAAAATTCTTATCAAAATTTTTCGTTTAAAACTCGCAAGCAGAAGGCTAGTTTTCCGACCTTTTCCGGTGCTAGCCTGTTGCGCAAATCAGAATGCACAAAACCCATTGAACTGAATACCCGCTCCAGTCCGGCCGACGACGGAGCAATGCTGATCAGAGTCACAGCCAACTCCACAAGTTCTTTTTCCAGATTTCCGAGAATTTCCTGTGACTTGTAGAAATTTCCCAGCTCACAGTTCGCAGAAATAGCGTACACTTGCTGGATTACATCTTTAGTTCCTCCAATAAATTGTAAATACTCCGACATGCAGGAAGCTCTGTTTTCGCGTACCCAGTTTGTTGCCTCGTTCCATTCAGAAGTCGTCAGATTGTTGCCAAGGTACTTCGGGTGCAGAGAATGGGCAACAAAAAACACTGCAGTAACACTCTTGTTGTACCTAGTTTCGGCGGCTGCTAACCATTCTCTTCCTTCTCCTTCGAGACTCCGGTAACTTTCAAGGACTTTTTTCCACGCGTGAACAGCATCTGCAAGTGTCACTTGATTTCCCTGAACCAGATCAATGGCGAGTGAAATGGGGGTCAAAACGTTTACAGCGTCCTCCACTTGTTTGTACAAGGCTAAGTCGACGATGTATTTTCGAACTTCTTTGTTCTTCCCTGTTCGAAAGTTCTCTTGATTGTCGTTTGCCACTTCTCGGAGGTGGTTCCAGTTTCGTTGGTACCATTTAAACATGGTAACAGTTGAACTCCAGCGAACATCACTCGGGATAACAGCCATTGTTGCTCCGTCTTTACTGGCTAAAAGTCCTCGAAGTACATGGGAGTACTTGAACGCCTTCGAAATTGCCGAAATTCTTGATACCAGTTCTTTTGGGCTGAGATCTTTAGCTAGCAAATTCAATTGATGTGCAACGCAGCCCACTGTGATGACCGAATCCAAATTTTCAGCGACCAATTTTTTCATTTTGACCATGTTTTCCGCGTTATCAGTTGTTATTGCAACAATAACACACTCGTACTTATCTTCTGCAGAAGCAATTGCATTTTGCGTGAGCTCGGCAAGATATTCACCAGTGTGGCTCTCGGCTCCAGTATCAATAGTTTCAACCAAGTAGACTTTGCTGTTCGCTTGTACCGAGAAACATACAATCGGCTCGTTTGCATTGTCTGTCCAGCCATCTATACACATAGTAACGAGTTTTCCGGCTAGTTGTTTCTTTGCGCTGGCCTGTTGATCTTCGTATACAGAATTCAATATTTCGTTGCCGAGTTGTTTTCTAGACGGTGGCTGGTATCCCGGATGTAAACTGTGAACCAAGGCCTGGAAATAGTAGTTTTTGACAAAAAAAAAATCTGAAAAATTGAACAGTTTTATCGAAAAACGGAAGTAAAATTACTCACAGTGAAGTGCCTAGATTCCACGGCTCTAAAAGCAACGTTGTTCGCAAAAAAGAACCGTCCCACTTCCTTGTCGAACCTGGCTTTTTGCTCCGGAGTTGTCTTGACAGCGAAATCCGATATACGTGGCTGTTTTGCCGTAGAAGGGCCAGGAGTGCTCTGCAAAGAAGATTCTTCATTCGTCGTACCAGATAATTGATGCACTTTATAATAATGCTTCTTCAATCTGTCCACTAAAGGAGCACACTCGTAACCACAACTCCGGCATTTTGCCTTGTTTGCCGCAATTTTCTCAAATTCACCCCAAATAGCATCCATTTTTCTACCAGTAGTAGCCATGGTCTCGATCTGAAAAAATTGCCCGGTTAAAGTATAGCACACTTAGCTACCAGCGTAATGAGTGTTTACATAACCGCGTTCTCTCAGAACCAACTAACCAAGCCAATTGTCAGCCACTTCAATTAGCTACCAGCGTAATGAGTGTTTACATAACCGCGTTCTCTCAGAACCAACTAACCAAGCCAATTGTCAGCCACTTCAACGCGAGACCGAAAACAAAGATGCCTGCTAAGGTTGTTCAATAACCAGTGATTCATAATTGATTCAGTAGAAAAAAACATTAAAAAAAAACATGTAAAAAAAACAAGTGTTTAAAACAGTGTTTAAAACATGTTTAAAACACCCCTTGTTTAAAACATGCCAACACTGGTAGCTAGTGTTTGAAGGTTGCTTAGCCCTCATAGGATTTTTGTGAGTTTTATCTTTTTTGTTTCTATGACCTGTAAGAGCTTTTTGCAGTTTGTTTTTGCTTGTTTGCGAAGCTTCACCTTAGTGTAATAAGTACTTCCGGATGAGCAACGGTACAGTTCGATCGACGGGTCCCTCAATTAGATGTTATTGACTTTGAATGTTATAATTCTTGAAGTTTATTTTGACTCAATTTTGACTTCTCGCACTTTGACTCATTTTGACTCAAAAACAAAAGTGCAAGTGGCGTGAAAAATTAAGAAAGAATAAGCTAAAAAAAGTACACTTCAGTTTTTAGAGTTTCAAATAGAACAAAAAAATTAGCTATAGACCCAAGTAGAACATAAAGTCACCAAAGAACAAGTTCTATCTAATTGTGTTGATTTTTACAAATTTTATCAACCGTAAATTTATGGTTTTTTTCCGGTTTCCTTAGCTCATTGAAATGTTTGCTGGCTAGGTTTAACCATTTTTTCAAGCAGAAAAACTTGGTCGCAAACGGTGATAAATTTGCATCCATTAGTGCAAAACAAAGTTTATTTTAGTTTTCATAGTTTATTTTTATTTGCTTGCTTATTTGAAGTTATCTGTTGATAGGAATTTCTCAAAGCGTTGATATGTATGTAATAGGAATATCATATAACTTGCTTTTGAAATTCGAAAAATATCAATTTTATTGCTGGATTACTCTATTTCAACCATGGGTTGGCTATGATTCTCATTGTGTGAAGAGTGTGCTCATTAATTACTGATGAAATGACGCGATTTGTGCGAACTTCTGTTTTTTTTTTACCATGTTTTCAACTTTTTTTTCAAACTTTTTCTTTCCTTCCTAGCTTTTTTCGACTAGATAATTTTCGCACAAAAAAAAGAAAGATGGACGATGTCAAATTGACCTTAGGTAGAAACGTTTCAGGTTGTTTTTCAATTGTTCAAAAAATAGTAAATAATAATGAAAGAAATGATTTTAAACTTTTATACTTTTTAAGAATCAAGTTAAAACGCGTTCACTCTCAAACATATGTTTTGGTTGTGTGTATCCTGATATCTGGTTAATTCACTTAAGTTTGTCTTCTGGACGGAAAGCATCTTGAGTTATCCAGTGTTTTTTTATATAGCTAACTAGAAATTGACCAATTGCACAAAATGAAATGTATTTTTAAAAAAAATTTGAAAGCTTTTCAGGACAAGGTTGTAATATCTGTTTTATAATTAAAATTTCAACTGTTTTTAACAGTCTGGTAGCCACGTTCTTGATTTTGATAAATGGTGGGTGGAAGTGAGATTTGGTAAACATTTACCAATCGCCATAAATATTCTATGATAAACCTTGTTGTTGAAAGCAGCGCTAGTTTCAATTACTCAGTCGTTTTTTTTTTGCTGAAAACTTAGTTCATGTGCATTTGGTCTCAGCTTATTTGGGGCTCCTAATTTTCAACTAAGTTCCTTATACACTAGCCAGCTATTCAACTGCATAAGGAAAGAACAATCTAATTGCTGAGTTGTGATTACTACAAAAGTATGAGAATAAAGTTAAAGAAATAAGCATCAGTGGTTGAATGCTTAAAGCTTTTTTTTCGGTAAGTGGTCTCGATATTGAATTCTTAAAAATCAAAAGGCTTGGGAAATTTTAATCTTTACATGCATTGTAAAGATTCGCCTCATTGCTAAAATTTTCAGTTAGCATTTTACATTTGAAATTTGAATGATTCAAAATGAAAGAAAATTTGAAATACATTGGAAGAAATATTTTTTTTTGCTCGCAAATGATTAGTTCTTTCATTTTCAATTAAAAATTATTTTTCTAAAGAGAGCACGATTTAAATAAATGATCAGTTTTCTGTTGATTTTTTAGATTATCGCTTAAAATAAAATGGGAGAATTAATTATTCGCGAGCAAAGTATTTTGTTTCTACTTTCAATATTTTTCCTTGTGTGTATATGTAGTTTATACATAACCGAAGTTTATTGACAATTAGATGATCTATGACATTTTGGCCCGACCTTACAAAAAACGGAATGCTCATGTTTGGGTTGTTTTTGTTACTCAGTCGGTTTTCGACTTTTTAGCTAGCCGTTTTTGGCAAAAATTTATATCTAACTACCACCCATTTTGTCAGAAGCTCAAATTTGAAAAAAACTCTGTGATTGTTGTTCAAAATGTTATGAGGTTTTGAAAGCTGCCATTTTGGTCAACTTGAAATAATTGATGGGAGAAAAAATTCATTCTGATAACATGCGCAAGAATTTTATAGAACAGTTTTATGGAAAAAGTTTCTCTACTATTTTATGACACTTGTCAATTTGCCAATCAACAACTTTTTAAATGGCCATAAACAGCAGTCAGAAAATTCGCAGCTTCGCTCTGATATATGAGCACTCATGTTTTTTTTTTCACTCAATTTTCTGCGATCAAAATAAAAGTTCTTAACAAAAGTTTTTTTTACCCATTAAAAATATCAACTCAGTGTTCAAATGTAGAAAAAAATGTTAGTCTTCAATAGTTTTTGTAAGCTTCGTAGGGTATAAAAATGGTCATTTTGACCCCGCTCTGGACTAGCTAATGCGCGCTTTGAAGATTTGATTATGATGATGAAAGCATAACGCGATACGATAAAGTTATGCATGGCGAAATATACTGCACTACAAAATCGTTTCAAATTGAATTGAGGCATTCTATTATGTCGTATTAATTTCGCACTACACAAATTTTCATACTTGTTGTTTGATATTGTCCTAAAATTGTGGTTTTTCAATAATTTTCTTACCAATTCTATTCGATACCGATTAAGAGGGAGTCGGAAGACAGGGGTTTTCCCTGATATACGAGCAGTCTTCTTATTTATCTGCCAGTTTTTGCTAAACCAGCGTTTGTAGACTCCTAAAATTTTGTTACAAATTATTTATTACTGTTCTCAGAAAATGAATCTCGGTTGAGAAACAAGGTTAGTCAAAGCAGGAATTCAGTCACAAAGATTAATCGGAAAATGGATAAAATGACCACTCTACTTTCAAACGCGAGGAAAAAACCAAGCAAAATTTCTCTAATGAAACAATTAATCCAACGCTATTGGTTGTTTGTAGAAGTCAGTAGAAGAATGAAGCTCAGTTCCGACCTAATTTCAGTTTATTGACCGAGTAACTTTGGTCGGAAGTGCTTTGATTTCCCTTGTTTTTGCTCGCGGTAGTCGAGTTGAAAAGTATATTTTGAATCTAGGTTTGAGTTGAGTAATTCTAAGCAAATCTTGGCTTCGCTAATTTCTCAACCCCAATTCTGTGAAAAAAAAACAAACCGTTACTTTGTTCAAACAAAAATTGATTTTTAAATTTTCTCAGTTTTTCACTTTGAGCTTTCAAAAAACAAAATTAAAAAACAAGCCGTGAACTCTGAGTTCTAGAATCTTCTTAAATTTTTCTAGTTTATAGCTATCCGTTAACAGGAGTTTTAGCAGCTAATTCGCTTATTGTTTTCGACGACTCGATGAATGGAAAGGAGTTATGGAGACTAGAAATTCTTTCACGCCCACCTGGCCCATCTCAAGGAAAGCTCCAGAGGAGCTTGAAGTGTGGTAGCATACAAAAACCCTGTTAGTCGTTTTTCTCGTTTGAAAAAAATGTATTTAAAAAAAATTGACTAATTGCTAAAAATTGTTCTGCGTATTTCGGATTTTCAGATTAAATTAGATGAAATTGGTGAGAGGCTGGCCTCCCAATTTTACTCTTACTAGAATTTGAACGCTATATTTGAACTTTTTTTAGACTATAGTCATCGCTGTTTCTAGAAAGAAAAATAACGGGAAATTTAGACAATAAAAATTGCAAAAATAAATTTTTATTTTTTTTCGACCTAAAAACTGTTAAATTTTGATTTTTTTTTTGCTTGTATTAATTTGACTGGAACATTCTGCTCTACTTCCTCAGCAACCGGCTATCCCAGTTGGTTTTGAAACACACGCTGTTTAAAGTTTTTTAGAAACTTAATTTCTCATCAAAACTGTAAATAGCTCCATATAAGTAGGTTATTATAGTAGAAAAATATTTTATACACATATCCTGCAATTGTTGTTCCGACCATTTTTTTAAAGTTGATATGAAATTATCAATTTTTTACTCAATAAATTCAGCTACCCAAAAATTCTAATTCTTCCTCGTGAACTTTTCGTGCTATATCAAAAACTCTCTTTCCAGCAGTCTGACCTTTTGCACCCTTTTTCTGGCAATTTCCTTAGTAGATAAAATTTCTGGACAGCAAGCAAGCTACTTGTATGAGCATGATTAAGGGCATTGATTGTTCCGAATACATAAATAGACCAAAATGTGCAATTATTTGTTAAATAGGATGAAATCTGCTGTTATAAAAAATATCCTCCTTCAATTTATTATAAGAAATGAATCTGTAGTAATAGGATGAAATCCACTTGTCCTCCAAATAATTTCAATGTCGACAGAGTATAGCTGGACTAAAGACCTTTCAATAGTCATTTCGAATAAAAAATCAAAGCGCAAAAAAAGTGGTTTTAATTTCCTAATTCTAAAAATTTTGAAGCTAAAATTCGAAAACTGTTTGGTCGGAACATTCTGTACAACATATTCAAAATTGGTCATTGTTTGATGATGTTTTATTACTTAATAGGCTGGTAGTTGGTGCGCGTCGAGATCATTTTTGAACTGGCGAACACTGTGAAGACAAAAGCCCCGACTAGATTCACAATTCCACAAAGGTCAAACACTCTTTGCCATGAAGTGTAGCTGTATACGTTCCCAGAGGTCAAAAATTCAGAGACATGTGGTGCGATAAAGCTGCAGATAATTCCGAACATATTGACCCACGAAAACACAGCGCCAACGAAAAACTTATCTGGGCATATGTCCAAAACATGCGAACAAATTTGAGTGATAAAACATGAGTTGGCTATTGACCCCATACTGAGGAAAATGATAGCCATGGTGGCGTTGCAAGGGTCGACCCGGATTGAGAAACAGAATATGGCGGCGGTCACTCCCCCGAAAACTACAAACATTTTCCTGATGTTGATCGTTTTCCAGTTTAGATTAGATCGAGCTAAGTCGGTGAAATACGAGCATAGAATACTGTAAAAGTCAGGAGTGTAAAAACAAATATAATGGCAATTATTGAAATGTATTTTTTTCTAAAAATTCTAAATATTAAATGATTTTGATGGTTCTTTTCCATTAAAACTCTCTGGTGAATTTCGAGACCTCAAAATACAGATATCGCTTTTTAGGTTTTTTTCAAAAGTAGGCTGATTTTGATGTTCGCTTAAAACAAATATAATGGCAAATATTGAAATGTATTTTTTTCTAAAAATTCTAAATATTAAATGATTTTGATGGTTCTTTTCCATTAAAACTCTCTGGTGAATTTCGAGACCTCAAAATACAGATATCGCTTTTTAGGTTTTTTTTTCAAAAGTAGGCTGATTTTGATGTTCGCTTAAAACAAATATAATGGCAAATATTGAAATGTATTTTTTTCTAAAAATTCTAAATATTAAATGATTTTGATGGTTCTTTTCCATTAAAACTCTCTGGTGAATTTCGAGACCTCAAAATACAGATATCACTTTTTAGGTTTTTTTTTTCAAAAGTAGGCTGATTTTGATGTTCGCTATTATGTAATATATGCGAATTTATGCTCTGCTATTACTAATTGTTACATTACCATACAGGTTTTATGAGTAACTATGACTGATTCTGCTCTTTTTTGTATTTCTCTACCTCTCCATTTTTAACCATGGAAAGTTTTTGGATCACAAAAGTTTTTTTTAAAAGTGTCGAGAAAAACTAGTCTGAGCTTTTCCGTTTTCCAGATTAAGATCAAGATCACTATCAAGATCTCTAATAACTCTTTATGATTCACCGATGCTGACACGTAACTGAGAATTTTTTGACTTCTTTGAAAATTATTTCACCGCTGCTGACTTAATTGCAATTTTTTTGGCTTTTTGAAAATTATTTCACCGCTGCTGACTTAATTGCGATTTTTTTTGGCTTTTTTGAAAATTATTTTACATTCCTGAACACTGTGCAGAAAACATGTGGTAAGGCGGCGTATATGCCACTCAGATGGACGTCGAATCCCAACACGTAAGACAGGTAGCTGGGCACCACAGTTAGAAGAAGGGTGTACATAAAGTCAGTGCAAAACATCAGCACGCAGGAACTCCATACGTTGATACTAGTGCAAATGTTCCTCCAGGGAATTTCTTTGCTGAAGTCAATCTGAATAAAACACTTTCTCATTAAATTTGGACAATAAATGTTTTTATAATTCAAAAAAGGACAAAGATGCTTTAAAAAGTTCAAAAAATGTATAAGTGGGGCGAACTGAATGATATAGTAAATTAGTTTCAATGAGACTACGTTTTTTTTTTTGTAAAAAAAGTATCACTCAACTACTTTTAAGAGATTTCTTTGCGCTAATCGAACCGAGACATCTTTTTTATAATCTGTAAGTGTTAAATGTATTATAAATCAGAATCTGCACTTCTATTTACTTTATTTAGTTTTTTTTGTCTTTTCCAGTTAGCATCCAGTGTGATGGAAAATACATGTTAAAGTCTTATTTCGAGAAACCCACCGACAGAGATAACTCTTTCCTAGTGAGAGAAGAATCCAGTCCATCTTCAGTAACTGGCAGATCATCTGGCTTCTCTTTCACAGACAGGAACCAAATGGGCACAAAGACACATGTCAGGATACCCCAGAAGTAGAAGACCAGAGGCCACCCACCGAGGAAGTCGAAGTCCGCCAGGAACCCACTCGCTATTTGGGACACCACCGGGGCTATTTTGGCCCCGGTTGTCGCCAGCGCAACGAGAAGTGTGTTTTCATTGTCGTAGCTCCAGTAGCTGAAAATATCTGAAAGGTAAACTCCTGGAAACAAGCCATCATGCTTTGGGATAACGATGGTTCCCTAAAATTTTAACTATGAAAGTACTCCTCGTAAAAACCCGCCCGCCTTCCTCCCCCCCCCCCAGCCCAAACCTAGCACGAGCATCAATTTTATGGTGTAATTATTGGTGGTAGAAGGCTAAAAATAGATCTTAAATTTTTTTGTAATGCATGGTTTATTTAGTCCGCGTGTGAAAAGAGCTTAAGATCCTAATGAGCTTGTGCTTGTGAAAATGAAAACTGTTAAATGAGAACAAAACTATACGAGAAATCTTAAGCGGAACGTACTGCTCAGCAGCATAAGTGGTTTATCTGAAATTTTCTCCTAAAACTAATTTGAACTTCGGGTACTAATTGAGATAGAACTTGATACAGATTTTTGCATAAATATCTATAACTATGTCTTACCCCATAAGAACCATAGCCGACGGGTAGTTGGCGCCAGCCGAGAGTCCAATGAAGATCCGAAGCACGATGAGAAACGCTACGTTTGAGATCGCAGCGACGTGTGTTAATAATGTAGCCATTCCTGAAATGAGCATGGACATTCCCATGACCTTCTTGCCTCCATATTTGCCGGCGATTACACCCCCCGGCACTTGTCCGGCGGCGTACCCGTAGTAGTAAGAGGAGAGAAGCACCCCCTGCAATTCAGGGGACCACGAGAAGTCACCACCTTGGAGACTGTTGGAGCTAGAAGTTGTTTGGTTCTGAAACGAGAAGAAAGTTCGAACAAGTTAATGGTAATGAAAGTATACTCACATACTACTAAAAAGTCGGCTAGCTAGTTTTAGCGGGTATCTTTGGGTAAAACCATCAGTTCTGAATAAAGGAGTAGTTATTAAGCTTTCCGTAATAAATAAATTTTTTTAGATTCTAGTAATGTATTTTTAAACAAATATTCAACGCAAAACTCATTTCATTTTATTCAGTTTTCATTTTATTTTCTAGTGGAAGGAAAAATAGGATCAGTGTTGAATTTTTTTGTTCTGTTAATTTTCCAATAAAAAATTATGGAAAACTACATGCTTGAAATTATTTTAGATAATTCAATTAAATAGTTAATATTTTCGACATTTCTACTCGACCGTTTCAACAGAAGAAAAGACAAGCATTCATTACAATAGATTTAAAAATTGATTGAGTTTAAAAAAGTATACCGGTGGTATTACACCACCATCCCTCTTAAAATACTGTTTTTTTTGCGCTCAGAAACGTCTGAAAAGAAAAAACGTTTTTTTTTGCGCTCAGAAACGTCGAGGCCCACAATGATCGGCGCACGTTGCTTGACGGTGAGGCAACATTACCCAGCTCAGAAAAATAACCAAAAATTTTATGTTTTTCTTAAGCAGGACATAACAACGGTTCTCCGTGAGGAGCTGAACAGCCCGTAATTTAGTCCTTTCCCTTGTGGATAAACCGTCTTAAAACTGAATACAAATATCAATTCTCCCAGACTGGGTTCTTTAAGATGATTTTTTTATTAATTGATGAACTAGAGCTTATATTGGAAACAAATAATAAAAAGATAGCGTACCACATATGCGATGCAGGAAGTAGACCCCTCTATCGTAGTCGGCTTCTGATACGCCATCTTCACAATCGCCACACTGAAGTTAGTCAACAAAGCGTACCCGAGAAACATAGCCAGTGACGTCATCAAAGCCACGTACAGTCTATAGGAGGGAAACAGCCGAGGAGTCGACCAGCTTCGGGACGAGTTTCCGTTCGAGTTCTTAGTCGGTGTTCTCTCTTTCCTGTAGTTTTTATTACCATCTTCACACAAATCCATTTTAAAGTTTGGATTATCTTCGAATTTCAGGCCCCTTTCGTTGAGCCCGTATTGGTATGAAAGGTTGTTGTTGTAGTTTGACACGGAGAAATCGACCCCCAAAGGGTGATTGTTATCTAATTGGGGGTCACAGGTATCGCTATCAATCAGCGGCAAGTAATTAGCTCGATCATGAGACTCTTTGATCCCTTCGGAGACCATTATGGAGTGAATTTAAATCCGCTGGTTGTTGAAATAAAGACGATACCCGTCCGACCGATTTAAAGTGAGTTTAAACCTTGATTTGAGCCATGCACGGGATGTTTTCAAATTTCCTGTCGTGAAATTAAACAAATTCAAATCATTTTTGTGTTCGAAAAGTCATATCACAAGATTTACTTAGGATGAGGATGCAAAGCACTATGATTTGGGATTTTGAGAGTAAATATCATTCAAATTGCCAAATCGGTAAGAGTGGTCGAAAGTTTATTAATTGTTTCATTTCTCAGTCGGCACATAACTCAAAATCAAACAGTTTGGAAAAAATTCTTCACATTTAACCCCAGATTCTCATGATAAAAACCGTGCGGTAAAGCGTGAAATTAGTTTTGATGAACTTTGTCGGGTCAGAGCAAATAGTAAAAGGTCATTGCGTGTAGAGGTTAAATTCGTATTTTTAGAGACTTTCTTTGGTCGCTTACATTTTACCTGCCGATTTCATAGAACTTAATTAATATTTTTAGCCCAATGCTTGTTTGTATTAAGCGCTTGTCAGTCCTGCTCGTTGAGATACTTTTGCTCAAGCCTTGAGATCTTGTCCGACCATTTTGGTCTAAATGTAAAGTCAAAACCACGGTCTTCACTCTGCCATTTAAAGTTTCATTGATGTTCTCTAAATTTAACAGCTTTCACCCCACGCTTTAAATATTCTTATCAGCTATTGGCAAGCCTCAGCTACCGCGAGTGGCTATGCTTTATTGGGCGCAGTTCTAGGCGTGAATTGTTTTGAGAGAAATAATGCTCATGACCTTCCGATGAAAAAAAGCGTTCATTCTTTACGGAAAATAATGAAATAGTTATGCTTGGGGTTGTTTTTTTTTGTATTCAGGGCAATTTCAAATCTTTTTACGGCACCTTAAACATGTCGATGACCTGAGCTCAAATTAACAATTGATCCGCTTGTGCTTATTGTAATGGAATTATAGTGGTTTAATTGTGGGACTATTTTGGCCAATATGAGATAATTTAAGTTCACAAATACTGCAATTTTTCATTAGCAGTTTGACGAATTAATCCAGTTCAAAAACTAATCCAGAATGAGTTGAGACACGCTAATTGAGCCAAACTGTATAAAAATTGATGCGAAAAACACAATTGGTAAAAGAAGAAAGTGCACAATATTTATGGTTGGGATGGTTTTTTTATTGAGTGAGTTTTTAAAACAAACTGCCGGCTTATTCTGTGTTTGCTTTGTAGAACTGATTTTTTTTCGCTGCTCGTAGTTTACTTTGTAGTTTTTTTTTGCTTTGAATTACGTCTGCTTTTTGTAATTTTATTAACCTTGACTTTGTATATTTTTTTGCTTAATAATTTCCCGGGAAGTAACTTCAGCGGATATTTTTGGCAAAATGATCTAGTTTTGAGTCGTTTAACGACAAGTTGAATGTTTAATCTTTGGGCTCCCTTCTGGATCGCATAAAGGGCTAAATATCTTGAAATCGAAATTATTATTTCAAGTGTTTCATGCTAACAATTTTTTTTATTTCTACGGTAACTTAACCAAGTTTTGTCGGCTCAGTTGCCACTCGATAATTTTTTATGTTGTTTAATTAAACGCCATCAATTGTTTTTCTGGACTGGACGGGTTTTCCGCAAATAGAGCATCATTCCAGACAAAATATTGAAGTTTCAGTCGCTCAATTTTTTTGAAAATTTTCTGGACTTAGTGCTATCTATCAATTTCCTGTCTGTTGGCTCGCAATACTATTTTCAGGTGGCATCGCAATTGGTGCGAAGCTCTGCTTCCCCTCTGTGTCTTTTATATTACGACCATTGAGTTAAACTTGGTTCTTCACTTTTCGATATATTTTTAATGAAAACTTTGCAAACATATCTTTAGAAATTGATGCTTTGACAGATATTTATAGTAGCACTGTAGATCAATTCTCAGCAGCATTTAAAAGGAATAGAAATAATAATTGTAAGCAAACGAAAATAAAGTTGGCGATTTTTATTGATTGAAAGCATTATTTTTTATGATAGCGTTTTGTTATATTCTAAAAAGTTTTTCGCTACATTTTTTTGAATTATTGTCTATCTATAAACATACTAACAAAAATTTTGACCGGTGGTTTTTTGCAAAACTTGTCTTATATTTACTGAATATATTTTTTTCTATGATTCACAAAATGAGTGTCAGATCTATCTATGAGATGTCTATAATGCTAAATTTGATTGCTATCACTTGAATAACTGACCGGTTTGGCCAAAAGTGCTAAGCAAACAAATTTTCAAATAGAAAATTGCTAGTCATACAATTTTTATGCAATTCCTTGCATGTCATACAATTTTTTGCATGTAACCCAGGTGAATAATGTCTTAGATGAATTATGAGAACTTGGATAATAGTTTGCACAATCCATGTATGAAGAAGATACCCCAACACACTGCCTTTTCGATTCTTTACACTCCTAATTGGGTTTGAAGCTGAGGCAACCAAAAATAGTTTCAACGTATCTTTCAAGTATCATTGCCAGAAAATCTGAAATTAAAGATGCATTTGAAAAAAAAATTGTTAGCTAAAGATTATGAAAAACACCTTCATTAAAATTTAAAGACCCTCATCAAAAACCAATCATATATCGATATAGCAAAAGTATCAAATGTCTTCCAAAAAGTATCGAAAGTATCAAGCAGACTTCTATTGGGCGTTACTGGATGTTTCATCTTTTTTATGCAGCATTATTATTGAAATTGGAACCCGCTCAATTACTATTAAAACGAAAAATGTGTATTTATTGGTATTCGCAGAAACGTTTTTGGAAACCAAAAACATGGCTTAAAAACAAAGTTCCTAGATAAAAATAAACTTTCCTGAAAACGAATTTAGCATTAGTTAGATTAATAATATCCAACTTTGCACTTCTCTGCATAAAAAAGCAAATATTAAGTTTTTTATATTTGAAAAAAAAACAACAAATGAAATTACATTTGAAGTTATAAGAAAAGTTGTTTTGCTTCCGCAGTTTTTGGAGCTAAGTTGTCAGGTGTAAATTAATCATGCAATTTTAGATTAGGTATATTTTTTCACTTTGATAGTTGAGAAAACTTAATTAAAGATATTGTGATTGAGACTTTTAATCAGCCTGATGAAATGATTAAAAATAAACAAAATGGTTTATTTATGGCAGATTTGAAACAATTCAACTTCAACAGGATTTACGTCAGGATTTGGCAGTCAAGTTTACCCCAGCAAAGAAGTGGTAGTGGTTTTGCAAAGCGTTTTTTTCTCTCAGAATTTTTGGTCTCACTACTACAATTTTTGATCGAAAGGTAAAAACTAATTAAAGGATTTTGATGTTCAAAATCAAAAAATAAAATCATATTTGTGTTTAATAATATTTTTACATTATTGGGGTTTAAATTGCTCATACGGTGCACGCAACGAACTGATCAGCATTCAAAATTAACTTAATTCATTTGAAAAAAAAATTTAAGATTTAATTAGCGTCCATTGAACATCTGCGATAAAATTTCGAAGATAACAATCAAATGGGAAATTAAGCATTTGATTTCTGTTTTCGTGTATGTTTTCTGAAAAGTTTGATTTAAAAGAGTTTGAATTGACCTAAAAAAGGCTCCACTATCTTCACACTGAAGTTCATGGAATACTTAGGTGTTTGTGAAGCTGAAAAACAACAGAAGTCTTCAAAAGTTCGATTACTTTTTCTGACAATGAAAAATGAGAAACTGAGAAAAAGTAACGCAAACAAAATAGTTGACCTTAACATCAAGATAACTAACAAAAAATTTTGTTGACATCAGGATGAAGAAACGAAAAAACACAATTGCTCAATAAATTTTAAAAAATTTTGTAATTTTGTAATCGACATTTATAATAACCTGTTGCGAATAAATCATTATCCAGAAAATATTACTTTTTTTGAAACTCAAAAATGAGCTGAACTCATTCTTGGAATAGGTTTTATTTTCTTCAAACACGAACTCTTTGGTAATTTGGAAATTTATATTTTTTTTTGCTGTGTAACTCGGTGGGATATAACGACACTGGGGAACTTCCCAAGTATAAACTTCCATCTGAAAATTCACTAGATACCGACACACGACTCATTGCTTTGAACCTTTGGCCAGGATGAGGCAGTAACTCGTAAGGTGGCCCTTGATGATTTCAATTAAGGTGTCGATGCTGACAATCAGTTCATCAAAAAAAGTATAAGAAGTTTCGTTTTGAGCTCACCTATCTAAATATACACAAAAATTCCAAGTTCAAAGTATAAGAAATTACATCCCCACGCTTGAAATAAATCTTCATTTCTTTTTTTTTAAAAAAAAATAAGCTCATCTGAGTCAACTGCGGATAATCAACTAATGTCTAATGCGTTTTTATTGCGCAATTGTTGGAAACATTTCAAATTGCCGCTATGAAACGTTAGTGCCTTTTTTCTTGTTTCTATTCTTTTGCAAAAACTTGTATATTACTTTCATGATATTCTTTTGGTGTCCGACAAATTAGACGGTTCCTGTTAGATGCGACTTTGAGACGACGCTACCTAACTCTCGGTTTGCATTTCTCAGAAGAATCTAGTGCCGCTTTTAGTTTTAATTGTTCTTTTTAAATGTTTAAACGCTCGTTTGTCGTCCTAATGTCACTTATTCGTCTTAATTTCTTTTCGTCTTCTTTAAGGGAGGAGATACTTTACAAGGTTCAAATTGGTATACTTTGAACTTCAAATTGATAAATTTTCTGGCAGGTCCTCATTTCAATGGATAAACGTGCAAGAAGAAGTTGGCGACACATGTCAGCAGAGTAAAATTGAGCAGATTATATTTTCATAAATTTTCATCAACGCCACGTTGAGTTATGTGTGGATTACTATATTCATAGAGTAATTTCAGATAAGGTACACCGTGTGCTCGTCACGCTATCTTATTTTCGGCCGGATAGATTCGTGCAACTTCTTAGTCTAATACCAACCTGAATCTTACTCTTATATCTCCTAGTCTCAATAGATCTAGTGTACATCGGTTTACGCGAGTTAGTTCCAGAATGAGAACAACTGTATTCTAAGTTAAATTCAAATTGTTCTGGTGTTGAAACTACAAGTAGTTTCAACACTTACAAATAAATAGGTTGTTAGTTTGATGGAGTATGATTGGTTAGTATTTAATATTTCATAGAGATAAAATATCATAATAATAACCAATGATAAATACTAGTTTAGATCTATGGTTCCAACGTGCAAAAAACTGTGGCAG